AACAATGCAAGCAGCCCTGGCTGCTGTGGCTAGTTGGTTGGAGCATTGTCCTGTACACCAAAAGGGGGCAGGTTCAATTCCTGGTCAGGGCATATACAGACTTTGCAGGTTTTGCAGGTTTTATGCTGGGTTGGGGCAAGTGCTCAATGTTTCTCTCTCTCTGCCCCCCTGTCTCATTAATTTAAAAACAACACTGCAAACATATGCAACTGAAATTTAAGTTTCAGGGTTGTATGAAGTCAGTAAAAGAGAACTGCTTAAATCACAACAAAACTATTGTAAGTAATTGATAGAGTTAAAACAATTTAAAAAGGAAAATTTATAAGGATGCCATAGTATAAGCTTTAAGACAAAATTGTCTTTGGGATATTTACACAAAAATGGCCAACACTGTCATCATAGTGCATAAGTCAAAAGTGAAATGGACATTATGTTGTTTATCTTACCATTTTGTTGGGAAAACTATACTCCATTACCTCTTCCCTCCATCAACACTTAATTCATTAAATTGAAACGGAATGAATGAAGTTTCATATTAGTGTAGATTCTTCCATTGTCACCGTTTAGAAAAATGTGTTTGGCTATCTTTATAAATGGATAATGTCAAATTTTCCCAAAGTGAGTTCTGCAGAATGCTGTAGTCCAGGTCATCTGTGAAAAACAAACAAACACAGGGATTCACAGCTGTGTAGGATATTTTCTCTTTCTCTCTCTCTAGTCTCCCTTCTGCTCTGTGCCCAAAGGGCTGATCTATATATACTACAGCTTCCTTTGCCCTGTGCCTTCCTCTGGGATTGAGGAGGGGGGAGGGAGGGGGGGGAAGAGACTAGCAGAACGTTAAAGGGCATCAGAAATGAGGGTGGGTATTTATTCCTTGCCTCCCTCCTGCTGGATTAGCACTAGTTCATTGGCTGTCTTATTACTAAGGTCACAGCTTTGGTGAGATTGTCCTCTCCATGTTGCTGTTCCTCCAGTTCTGTTAACTGCTCCCCCTCTCTTGCACTTTAAAAAAAAATCTGTTTTTCATCAGAGAGGAAGGGAGAGGGAGAAAGAGAAACATTAATGATGAGAATCAATGATGGCTGCCTCCTGCACGCCCCCTACTGGGAATCAAGCCCACAACTTAGGCATGTGCCCAAATTGGGAACTGAACCATGACCTTTGCCTCATGGGTCCACACTCAACCACTAAGTCACACCGGCCAGGCCTCCCTTGCATCTTTAGGTCTAGAGATGGTAATAATACTGCATTCTCCCTTGTTCGTTTCCCTCTATTAAACGTTTCTCAGTACCCACTGTGAGTGTGCCATGTTCCCTTCCAGGATGCTGATTTATACAATAGTTAAATATTATATTACCTTCTTGGAAAGATTAAAAATTCACATTAGCAGTAGAAAAGTATAAAGACTCTAAATAATTTAGCAGTAAATAATGTCTAAGTTTAGCCTAAGTCTAGTGTTTGTCAACCTTAAATATTCATGGCACCATTTTACTAACAATATATCTAAAAACATCCCTGAACACATTAGACTATAATAGTCCTTGCCTTAAAATAAGCAAAGCCAAATATAATGGTTTATAGTCTTGATGACTAAGAATAACCATTAGCAGTATCTGTAATTGTTCTGTGCTGTGTGCAACATTGATGGCCTGAAGGTCTACTGAGGTATCCACGCCTAAGGCTGTAAGTCATAGCATTGAGTGTCCCAAATGGCTGTGCCTCTTGAAATCGGTTTAGTTATATAATCCCAGTCTCTCAATATCCAGCTGACAAGTCTATCTTACCCATATGCTTCTCTCCCCTGTGCTCTGCACCTTATTTACCACCTCTAGTCTGGCAGGACATCAAATTACCAAAACTAGATAAAGTTATATTGAAAATATTAAATATGCTTCAATAGGCACCTGTGATTCCCTAATAAGCACACATTAGTGCCTAAACCTCATGTCTGTGGTGGTTGCTTAAAAACTTGGTCCCCTTATGCTTGATATTTCAGTTACATGGGATGATGCTGTGGAAACACTCTTTAAGTCCGCTTTTAAAATTCAGATGTGGTAGCTATGTGTATTTCTGGCTTATCAGAACATGATAGGATTGCATTTTCTGTGCTGAATGGTTATGTGACTAGTTCTGCCCAATGAGTTGATAGAAGTGTTATGATTTTTAGACAAGAACTTAATTGTGAGAAACTCCAAAGCTGCCCCCCAACCCATTTTTTTGGGTCACAACTAGCTCTGTTCCACAGAGTAGATGTTCCATCAGTATGGGTCCCTATAATGTATGTGAAGCTTAAGTGAGAAATAAATCTAAGTTACTTTCAGATTGGGTGTTTCTTAGCCTATTCTGATTTACTTCAAAAAGGTTATTCTGCAAAAACAGAAAAGGGTTTGATCAAAATGAAAGTGATGTCACATGGTTTTTATTAACAGTTAAGGAAAATGAGCATGAGTTACAAAAGCAGTTGAACTCATACAAAAGCTTTAACTGGTTTCATAAAAAATGGTCAGGCACGTGTAGTCATAGCTGTGTGTAGTGAACAGTCACACAGTTTTAAACCCCTGAGTTCTACCACTTATTAGCTAGTAATCTACCTGGAGGCTCAAATGTTTTATGTATAAAATTAGGGTAATATAGGATTACCAGGTAATCCTATATAATAAAAGCCTAATATTCTAAGTGTCCGATCGACTGGTCAGCCGTTCAACCAAACCGTAATATGCTAATGTTATGCTAAGGCCGCTCAACCACTTGCTATGAAGTGCACGGCCCACCAGGGGGCAGATGCCCCAACTGGTAGGTTAGTTTGCTGCTGGGATCCGGCCGATTGGGACTGAACAAGACAGGCCAGACACGCCCTGGAGCCCTCCCGCGGTTCCTCCCCGTCTGGCCGACCTCTCGCGTCTCTCCCCAGCCCAATTATGCACCAGTGAGATCCCTCAGCTGGCCTGTGCCCTCTCGCAATCCGGGACCCCTCGGTAGATGTTGGAGAGCTGGTTTCAGCCTGATCCCGCAGGCCAGGCTGAGGGGCCCCACTGGTTCATGAATTCATGCATTGGGCCTCTAGTCAAATTATAAGTCACCTGACAATACTACCCTTAATAAATGGCATTCCTTACTATATTAACCGACTAGTCTGGCAATATATATCAAATAACTTCCTATATACAAGGTCTCAACTCATAGTTCTTTCTTATTAGGTACTAGTGACTGGTGCAAGGATTTGTGCACATTGAAAGGAAATTAATTAGAAGGTGGCCGGCAGGACAGGACTGGGTGAGAGGGACCACACTCACCCTGGAGCCAACCTCCTGCAGTCCCTCCCCAGCGAGCTGCACCTGGGGTGGTGGTGTGGCTCGAAGGGCATCTGTGCAGTGAACATCTGTGATGCTCGAAGGGCATCCTTTGGCCTGGCCTATGGGAATTGGGCCAAAACCGATTATGACATCCCCCGAGGAGTCCAGGAGTGCGAGAGGGCAATCTGCAAAATTGCTGTCCTACAGGGTGTGGAAGGCAAACGCAAGTGTGCAGTAAACCAGATTTGGAGCCAATGCCCCAGCAACAACATAACTCACAGCTGAAGGTGGAATCATGTGGCCCTGAGGAATCGGGGCTCCCTCCTCTCTGGTTTCGAGGTGTGTCACCTGAGAACCTCTGCTGCCACGTCATTGCAGCTCAGCAGCTCCTGTGCTGAGTGTCTGCCCCGTTGGTCATTGCGCATCATTGCAACCAATTGGACACACACACACACTAGAGGCCTAATGCACGAAGATTTCGTGTAAGAATGGGCCTCCGTTCCCCTGGCTGCTAGCACTTTCTTCGCTCTGGCCTGGAGCCACCTTTCTACCTTCCCATGCTGCCGAGGCCTGGAGCAGTGTTAAAGGCTTGATTTGTCGCCATGATGACGCAAGCATCCTGCCCGATGCCGTTCGGAGCCTGCACATGCAAATTAACCTGCCATCTTTGTTGGGCTAATTTGCATACCCACTCCTGATGGGCTGGTGGGCATCATGAAGGTACAGTCAATTTGCATTTTATTAGTGTAGATAGAAGAAATCTCCCAGGATATGAGTATTCCTATAATAAATCATATTTATAAGATGGAAAATGTTTGGATAGAAAACAAATCTCACTGTATACTATACAGATGAGGTTTAACATTTTTAGCACCATATATACAATCTAACATTGTAAACTGTCTCAAACTCAGTATGTTTCATTAATCATGATGGCATCTCCTCTCAATAAACACAAATGCTGCTTTATGGGGTATGTAATAGAGAAATTATGATTTCATAATCTACATAAAATTTTCTTAATAGGCTGCATTAAAAAAATAGCCAGGTTAAATAACTTAGCCCCAATCACAAAACAGCAAAGATTTAAAAAACCAAGGATTCCAAGGTCCCCTCAAGAATGGAGTATGTTAAGTGCTGAACTGTCCTGAACAGATGGAAGCAAATCTTTAAAACAAAAATACTGTTTTTCACTCAAATTTCAGTCTTTTATTTGGTTGTAACTGTTGTTTTAAAAAAGAAACAGACAAGGACCTTTTAAGATGACCTATGTACGCTTGTTTCAGATGACTGAAAGAAACATTTGTCAAGCCCTCTTGTGCCAAACACTTGTTTAAATTAATTAAAAACCTAGTTATATAATTTATGAGAAAATTGAAGCTCAGAAGTTGACCCTAACCAGTTATTTGGTGGAATTGAACTTCAAATCAACAAGGACTTCCCCTTCTATATATGCTGTTTCCCCTCAGTACAGAATAGTACATAACGGTTCAAAACTATCTAAATCTCTAAAAAGCAGTATAAAATGAAAAGCACTTTTAATAAACACTTGTCATGACCCTAAGAAATTGTCTATAAGGAGCTTACTAAAATGACAACTTCATTTAATCATGCATTTAAAAAAAACTACTTCAAATGGTGCTAGCTACTAAGTGAAACCAATTCAGTCTTAACATGTTCTAAAGTTAATTTTAAGCAAAAACAATGTCAGTGATGATAAATGCATCTTATTTATTTAGATGTTTAAGCTCTCGCACTAAATTTTTACAAGCTGGTGAACACTGACAAATTATTTCTCCCAGAGAACTATAACCACACATTCCCAAACAGTATAAATATATGGTTGAACTAACATCAATACATATCACCATTTTATCAATTACATAATAAAACAAATTATCAAGTATCCAAATATTAAGTTACACAGCTCAAAAGGCATATAAAATATTAGATGTCTGCTCAGTTCATTAGCAGGAACCCACTTCTTTTTTTTGCAACAGGGTTGGAAGGGAAAAAAAAATCACACTTCAAACAAAAATAAGTTGGTAAACTTCAGAATGTATGAAAAAAATACAAGAATTCAGAATTTTTATGATTAAGAATCGTTTTAGCTACAATAAAGCATGTCTACCTTTAAAAAAATATTTACCAAAGAGCATATTCTACATGTTCCACACAAGACAAAGGCAACATTTTACTAAAAATACTTAATAGCCCCCTCTCATTCTTTTCTCAGGCCCTCCCTATAGGTTGCACATTAAGTGCAAACGTTAAAATTAACTGTAAGGCTTTGTCTGGAGACATTAAAGACATGTGCTTCTATACAATGCAGATTTTCAAAATGGAGGCTTTCCATAACAGCACAAAATGAGATTTATAGAAAGACATTAAATAATAACAAAGACTTTGTATAAAAATCAAAAAGTTGAGCAAACCTGATGTATACTTGTATGAATGTGGGAGATGTAAACATAAAGTGAGCAGGCAAATAACCATATGGGCCCTACTTTCTATGTTTGAAATGACTGAAGGGATAAACCACATAAGGTCCAGAGTGTTCATAGTTCCTGGGATTTTAGTTTTGTATGAAACTAAAATATACAAGTATTGTGCTGGGTATTTTGGCACCTAATCTTTCTAAATCTTTTATATTTCGGTGAGATTCTGACATGGGAATAGATTTAAAGACATAACTCAATACTGCATGATTTCAGGAAAAGTAAATTGGTACAAATGATAAGCAGATTTTAAATGCTGAACAGTAAGAATCTTTTGCAGTGTCAAAATAGGTTGATCAGAACCCGAACATAGAGGTTGCAATTCCGTCAAGCTTGTGGCCTGTTAAAACTGATTTTCAACCCTCTTTTGGAAGCTTCATTAGACTTATTCACCAAGCCAACATGTTGGCTAATACATATGACAAATTAGGTCCTATCTCAAGTTCCACTTTCAAGGCAATGGCATCAGGCACCCGTTTTATTGAATGCAACAGTTGTTTCTATGACCACTGGACTCTTTGAAGCGCAGCCGCATTTTAGGACGATACTTCTCCAAATACAGAAGTTGCTTGCTATTAAAAGCTCCACGCCGCTTTCTGAAAGGGAAAAACAAAACATGTAAGTAATTAAAGCAAAAGCCCTCCATTAATAAGATTCACTGTGCTATAGGCAGTTATGACCACTCTTTTGGCACTTTGTTTTGACTAGAGGCCCGGTGGCACAAAATTTGTGCACTGGGGTATGTGTGTCCCCCTCAGCCCAGCCTGCACCCTCTCCAATCTGGGACCCGTTGGGGGATGTCCAACTGCTGGTTTAGGCCCAATCCACAGGGATCGGCAATCGACGTCCCTCTCACAATCCGGGACTGCTGGCTCCCAACTGTTCACCTGCCTAATTGCCAGCCTGATCACCCCCTAACCACTCCCATGCCAGCCTGATCAACGCCTAACTGCTCCCACGCCAGCCCGATTGCCCCCAACTGCCCTCCCCTTCAGGCCTGGTCACCCCCAACTGCTCCCCACTTGCTGGCCATCTTGTGACCACACGGGGGTGGTCATCTTGTGGGAGGGTATGAAGGTCAATTTGCTATTACCTCTTTATTATATAGGATTACTACACTGTGACCTAATGCAGAAATATGGATAGGCATACATGTGTAAATAGAATGCAAAAAAGAGAAAAGATCTTTACTTCTAGGTTTTTTTTTTTTTAAATATATATTTTATTGATTTTTTACAGAGAGGAAGGGAGAAGGATAGAGAGTTAGAAACATCGATGAGAGAGAAACATTCATCAGCTGCCTCCTGCACACTCCCTACTGGGGATGTGCCCGCAACCAAGGTACATGCCCTTGACCGGAATCGAACCCGGGACCTCTCAGTCCGCAGGCCGACGCTCTATCCACTGAGCCAAAGTGGTCACGGCTACTTCTAGGTTTTAATACTATCTTAAAAATGGTCAGATCAGCTGCTAAAAAAAAATCTGCTTTCACAGTAATATAAAATTTAACTCACTCCCATACAATGAAAAAGTAAAAAAAAATTTATTACTTACTGTCTTATGAACTGTACTGCATCTTCATATTTCATTCCACCTTCGATTAATGCTAGGGCAACAAGCACCGGAGCTCTGGTAAGGCAAAAATTTTGATAAATCATTTTCACAAAACCAACCCCTGAATAATTCAATATTCTAAACATTCCCTAATACAATACTATTTATTGCACTTCTTATATAAGCAATACATGTAGTAAATGTTGACTTACGTTAAAAAATTAAGTACCAGTATTTTCATATTAAACCTAGATTTTATCTAGAATCAAAAAAAAACTATGCCCGTAACTATTATTAAAGCCTAGAAGTTAAAGCTTGTATTATTGGAAAAGAATCTTGCAAATATTTAGGGGAGCGCACAGGTGTTGATAACTGTAGATAATTTTTTCCCTAAATTCCAAGCACTGAAAAATATTTACCACTTAAAAAAATTTTTTTTTTTAAATGTCATTAACTCCTTTCTAAAGATCTTCTAGAAATGTGCTTTCTAGGGTAACAAGTTCCTACCGAATCAGATTGCTAGGATCAAGGACCCTATCAAAAGTACACCACATGCAAACTACCTTAGAGAGAATTCACTATCTTTCTTCCCAATAGGCTTAACAGTGACTCCAATGCCATGGATATAACCTAGCACACATGATTAACTGTATAAGTGATTATGCACACAGAGCCAAGTGTAAATTGTAGCTATAGCATTTGTTAGTTCCAGCTGTACTGAAGTACTACTTTTTAATTTAGTTCAGTAAGTAATTTAACAAAGCAAATTGATTCACAAAGTGATTACTGAGTTTTTATTGGAGTCAGCATCAAGTTTTACTAAAAATAAGACCAATACCATTAACTGGATTTGAGAAATTCTCTTACCTTCCAAGGCCTGCAACACAATGTACAGCAATACAACAACCAGGTTCTTCACGAAACTTAATTTTTACTAGACTTAACCAATCATCAACAATCTGGTTGGATGGTGGTGCACCATCGTCAAAAGGCCAATCCTAAGTCAAAAGAAGAAACATTTTAGATTTTTAATATAATACCACTAATAATTCTAAATTTAACACTCACTTTCAAATGCATCTTAACATATTTAAACTTGTTTTATGATACTCCAATGTCAATGAAATGTAAATGCCAAACCTTTATAAAAAAATCTTTTAATGCTTCAAACCCTTGCTTAGCTTCACCTTTATTTTGAAATTAAGATACTGCACAATTTTGTGACAATTTAAAAAATTAAGCTTGTCAATGATTTATTTCAATAAACTTTTATAGTACAGTATCATAAAGACAGGAATTATCAAATACTTACAAGAACTTGGATGCCTTCTTTCTCCACCAGAGTAGTGTCATAAGTTGCTTCACATACTCTTACTATTGTGGTAACGCCATACTTCTTAAGTTCCTGGATAAAACACATAAAAAAATACTCAGTAGTCTTTATACCATGTCACTATTGTCACCATTTGCCATTATGAGTATCTCTCCAATAGGTATTGAAGGTTACCAAAAAATCATGAAATGAATGGCATAACCTATGTATATTTAATAGGGAAGTGAGATCTTGTTTTAAAAATGACAATACTAAAATAGCATAAAAGGATAAGGGAATGTTAAACATTACACTTTTTAATAAATTAAAAGTTAAAAAAAATATTCCCAGCCCTGACCAGGTTGGCTCAGTTGATAGTGTCAGCCCAAGGACTGAAGTGTTCCAGGTTTAATGCACGTGGGCTGCAGAGGCTTGATCCCCTGCCCTGGCTGGGTGAGTGGGAGGCAACCAAAGGATGTGTCATCTCTCTCACATTGATGTTTCTCTGTCTCTCCCACTCCCTTCCACTCTTTAAAAAAATAAAATAATCAATGGAAAAATATCCTCTGGTGAAGATTAACAACAAAAAAACCCCAGGCCCTTCATATAGTGAAGTTTTGTTTATAGTTATGGTGACCTACTGGTTAGTTGGAGATGAAGCACTAATGAAAGAGAATTAGAAGTGATTCAGAAATAAAAGTAAACAGAACCAAAGGAATAACTTGACTTAACTCCTTAAATTACATGTTCAGGACAGTATGTAATTTAGAGGCTTAAAGGTACGTATATTCAGAGACTCAAACCCTATCACTTAAAACTACAGGCTTCAAGAATCACACTGCATTTACTAAAATCTTAACTCTTCTGTCTTAAAAAAATTATATATATATATTGCTTGACATCAAAACTATTCTATGATCTGCAAGGCCTATTGTTTCTGAGCATCTGCACATATTTGTAAAATACATATGCGTCCAAATACATCATTCAGCATTCCTTCCTTATAGTCAAAAGAGGCAGACAGCGAGGCAATTTTGGTGACAGCAACCACTAGGAAGTAGAATTAGTTAACTGGAAATTGGATTGTACATATCAAATGGGGTCCAAGATATACATTAATTTTGGCTTATAGTATTAGCCATTACACAAAGCTGATATATAAACAATCCATGTAAATGGCAACCCACCTCCTACAAATTTCATATAAGAGCCATACTATTAACACTGTCCACATAAATCTGAAGTAAGCAAACTTTGAGGCATGAAGAACTAGATGTTAACTTGTAAATCTAAAGCAACTCAATTACATGTTCGTGAAATGTGTAACAATTTACCTTTAACTTAAAAAGACAACACTGATACTTCATTTCTGGGACTTGGAACTGTAGGCATTTATCTCAGAATTTTCCAAAATATTCTGTTATACAAAAAGCTCCACTATCAAACTGTAAACAGTTCAAGAAAATTTATAAAAAGTATCAAACCTTACCTCTATGAATTTGTTTAAGGTCGCATTGGTTGGATTGTGTGTAATAAGAAATCTCATGTTCTTGTATGTGACTTCCACAGGAGCTGGGCGGTTCATTCGAGCCATGATAATTTAGTTAAAAAACACTCAATAAAGTTATGAAAGAATTTAAAAATTGAATACAGAAATGATGCAAAGAAACTGAGTCTACTTCAATATACTCCACTTGAAATTCTCAGTGCTTTGAGTGAAGTTGGGAGTAATGGGAAATGAAATGAACCTCCTAACAAGAAGCAGCAATTCTTCAATCCAGTAATACTGAGGCAATAGAAAGGAAGTGCACTGAGGTTTACCCCATCCAGGTCAGAACTCTTGCAAAATGCTCTGCAGTTTTCAATTCAACACCTCTGTGTCCAGGTTAACCACTCATATGGGGGCTTCTTGGTGGAGTAGTAATGAATTTCTACAGTTCACTTGTCTGCATAGAGGTCGTGCTGTGCCTGGCAATAATCTCCACTGCCCTTCAGAAACTCCATAAATGTGTGACCAAGAACACCACAGAACTGCTGTTTAAAAAAGAAAGGGAGAGAGAAAGAGAAAGTTATTTTCCAATTCAAAAGGAACATGTTATTCTATTAAAGTACTAAGTACACAATGAGCTTTTCAAATTTGGGTCCAAGCTACCTTTTTAACTTCTCCTTGAACCACAAAAATAATACAAGAATTACAGGTTTAATCAATATGCATAAAACAAGCATTCACAAATAAGATTATTTAAGTTGAAATTAATGATCTAAAACACTCCTCCCTCAAAGAATACCACTACCATATCTGGACAATGTCCCTTTTAATAGTTAGTTGGTTGTTTTACATTGTTACAAAATATATGTACAACTTTCTGTATCGATTTTCTCAACTAATAAAGTATTTTTTACATATAAAGTTTATGAAAACTTTGAAGCTGTTAGTCTTCCCATAATTTACTTACTTTTCTAAAGACAACCAATATATTGTTGAAAAACAAAAAACTGGTTCTCGAAAATGATTACATATAAATTATGTCATTTGATCCTTAATGACCAATTAATTTATCACTTTCTTTTAAAGATTTTCCTCATTTAAGTCTCTGGAAGTTAACAAAGTTGTTATGTGAAGTATTATAAAAATGTATGTTTATAAATGAAAACAAAAAAACAATTCCTATTTATAACTATAAAAGATAATTTCAATAATATTCTTGTATTTTAAGACCAAAATATCATTCATCCAGCTTAAAACCAAATCTAATTCAAAAGAGAAGTGGTAGGTAGTGAAAATTACTCTGCACTTCTTTCAAAGGTCTCAAAACCAAGGTAACTACTACCACCAATACAAACATTTATATTTTTCCCAAGTTCCCCGTCAAGAACTAAATCAGTTTTCTGTTACCATAAAACATTAAACGAATATACACAAGTTATTCTCAGAATATGTACACAAAAAGCATCAATGTCAAATGTTATCTCCTCCCAAGTAGTCCTGTTCATATGCAATTTGCTTACTTAGAATAAAAAAAGGAATATTATTAGCAGGTTAACAAGAGCACAAAGTGCCAGCCAGCCACTGCTCCAAAAAGGTTATATTTATTCTCATGGGTCTATTGCCAAATAAAATAAAATTTTGTAACAAAAGTTTCCATTAATTTTCTACATTTAAATTTAAATATAAGCATTTAAAAGTCTTAAAATTAAATTTAAACTATGTGCTCCTATTTTCACTTACATCTTTAAATAGACTCCCATGTTAGTCACAGTTTCTAGAAAAACTTAACTGAAATTTGAATAACCCACACAGAAATCTAGCAGATCACAGAAAATATCCAGTCACAAACCAAGGTCATTTTTCTGCCAAAACAAAGGTTTTCCTGTAAGATAATTTTTATTATTCCAAATTTGCTCAAATGAGCCCTTGGAGGTTGTTACTTCACTTGCTAGCTGAGTTAAAAAATTAGTGACGCTACTAATTTTTTATCATTAAGGACTCTACTCTCATAGTAACCTGGAAATAATTCCAAGTCTAACCTCACCTCAAATCCTAAATATAACTTTCTTGAATTAAAAAAACATGTATTCTTGCAACTTTCTGATGACATACTCTAAATTAAAGAAGCCACTTGTAAAGCTGTTAAAGGCAATGAGTCTTCAGTATTCTGATTTCCAGGTACTATTCTTTGGCAATTGTAAGCCAATTTGTAAGCAGTTTTATCAGCAAGAGGAGAAAACAATATAGAAGTAATTCACTTAGCGAATGTTATTTTTTTAGAGTGGAGCCAGCCAGCGGCTGGAGGGGGCTTGGCGGGGGGAAAGCACCTACCAGAGCAGCAGGCCCCACTGACCCCTATCACCTTTCCTTTCTTCCCTAGTCACCCGCACCCCTCCCCACAGGAAACTCGTTCTCTAACAGGCAGCTCAGAAGCACCAGCGAATTTCTCCTCTCATTCACGAGTTGCATATAAAACAGGGGGAAAGGGCAATTTCAGAAGCTTACGTCAGATCAGATCGCAGAGTCCAGGCAGTTAACCTGTGCGACAGCTTTACTTCGCTGGGGCCTGTCCCCCTTCTACTTATAGGTTAGGTAACGCATCTAGAATCGAGCACGTCTGACATGCCACCGAGTCTCGGGAATGATCTAGCTTTCTGGTTTTTCAACTAACTTACTACCATCAAGCAGAAAACTCACATAAAGTTACAGGAAGCACTGTCGCAGGATTTGGGTCCCACGCAGGCCCACTGGTGGCACATAACTGAGTGCGTACCCTCGGCATGAGCGAGGGGGGCTTCCGCCGACACAAGGCGAACCTGACAACCCGGCTCGGGTTGGCGTCGGCGGCCCCGGGCCCACCGGGAGCACATCGCGCCG